AACTAAAGCCGCTTTACTTGTATGGGGTGAGAGGGAAAACGAGAGGATGACAAAGAGCGAACGACAACTAAAAAACAATGGAAAAGCGATTGATAGTACATTCAACCAACCTTAAACAGCGAAAAAATCGATGTGTCGTGGAGACATTGGCATAACATGTAAGCTTCGAATGTTCATGAATTGTGTGTGCATCACATTTATCTGTCCATTTTCGTTGTGCATACGCGTTCGCCATCGTACAATCAGAATTTTCAGAATTGCGACAAGGTGAGCGAGCAATGGAGAGATGGTGTGAGCTTTGAGCGGTTGCCGTTTGATAATGGTGATTTCACATTCGACTGGTAGCTCTTCTTCAAATGCACTTTTCTCTCTCTCTCTCTATCTCTTTCGCAAACACATTACAAAACGATCTTCTGCGAAACATAAAGCCTTCGAACTACATAATCAACATACCAATTTTCAATAAATGTACGACTCAAAGAAAATGGGAAAAGGAACAAAAAAAAAACAACAACAACAACGGACGAGCGAACACGATGAGAAACGCCAAAACACAACATACATATGAATCGATGCGTATGTACGATAGAATTTTTTTCCCGTGTGTTGTTCAATGGATCGAGTCAATAAACGAGGCACATTGTGTAGTGTGTAGCATTTATCATTTCCCCATGGGACGCTCAGCAACGAACAGGCCAAGAGCGAGGGTGCACTGCACACAACAGAATGAAAAATACTCACAAAACGAAAACAAACACGAGAGGAAAAAGAAATGTTTTTTCCTGTACTTTGAAAATCTACATACAGCTCAACAACGCCACACACAACACCGCGCTCGAGCGCTACTGCTGCTGCCTAGGCTGCTGCTACTACTGCTGACGATGGTTCGCTTTTTTCCTGAGCCATATACGCCACATACGCAAGCACACATTATCATCGTAGCAAAAAGGCCAAAAACTACACACATCGACACTCTCCCGCTCTCCTGCTCTCTCGAACCAACCAGCAAAACAGTTTTCATAACAGATATTATAGACATTAGTGGTGCGTATATGGCGATGGATATGAATGGATTTTCCATTAAATTGAAGGCACTTTATTTGCTTTTCCTCTCTCTCTCTCTCTCTCTCTCTCTCTCTCACTTTTGAGCTCGTTCTCTCCCCCCCCACACACACACACACACACACACACACACACACACACACACACACATACACACACACACACACACATACGCGCTGTGTCTCTATAAGCTTGGTTGAATTGGCAAGCGAACGAGCGCAAAATTATATCCTAGGTAAAAATAAAATGGAAAAACTCGACTTCCAAGCCAAAAAGGATTTTATATATGGTTGATGATTTTTTTCTCGTGCTCTATCTCCGGTTGGGATGGAAAGTATTGCGATGAGAGTCGAGTCGGCTCGATGTTCATTTTATTGTACATAGAAGCTTTTCCATTTGGTTGTTGGTACCGCTTTGCAAATGTCGAGCACACCGGAGAGAAAGAAAAAAAAACGTACACAAGAACGAGCCAGAGATTAATAAGCGCGTATAAACCGATTGTTCGCATCAAATCTCCAAAATGAACATGGTTGAAATTGAGCGAACGAGATAATAATTTAAGCAGATTTAGTTTCCGCTTGGGAAACTCGCACCGGACCAGAGATCGATCTATATTTTAATGCACTTATTTTAATATAGTGGTCAAAACGGAACCCATTATCAAATGTGATTTCCATGATCTTTCCTCTTTCGAAAGCAAATCCGGAAGTGGACGGCAAATGCGAAAAATCCGAATGGAAAATCGAAAGGGAACTGAAGTCCCAGAAAAAAAAACATTATAGCCTTAACTTGTCCATTGAATTGGATGAAAGTCAATTTCCGATCGGTCGGCTTTATTTCATTTCAAATCTGACTATCGGCTGGACCTCTCATCGAATTGCTGAACAAAATTGTTCATCTGCGGAAAATCTCGTAATCACAATCCAAACAAGTGGCCCAATGTTGTGGTCGATGGAAAATACAAAAAAATAAACTTAATTACAATGCTACAAATTCGATCCAATTTGCGGTGAAATGAAACTGATTATGTGCTAATATTTATAATGATTTGTTAAACAATGCTGAAACTTCTTAATTTTGTGGTGTGGAAATTAAAAGAGTCGCCGCCCATTGAGCGCAGGGAGTTGCACAGACTAGGACAAATGAGCGTAGAGAAAGAGAAAAAAATGGGAGTGAAAGTGAGATAGCGAGCGGCTAGAGAAAAAGAAAAAGTAGAAAAATGAGACGTAGTTAAAGAAAACACATAGACATTGACCCGTCACTTATTCGGTACTTTCTCTTGACAACGCGTTGCGGTTTAACCCCGAAAATTTACCGAGTAATTTGTGAAATGAATGAAGTCATTACAAGTAGCAAAACGGGACATTATTTATCCCGAAACCGAACCGAACCGAAGGCGAAAATATATTACAATTATTAATGTGAAGCCATTTTTTACCGGTTCTGCATTAAGCCTGCAACAGCATCGTCAGTGTATTTATGGGTTCTCACACACCCAGAAGAGAAGAAGCAAAAAAGAGAAAAATCACAGGATGCTTGCAATGCGCACACAAAGCACAGAACACACCAAGACCCATGGCAAAGTAATAACTTTCAAGACAACGAATTATTTTCTAATTTAATTTGACATCGTATTTATTATTTGTTGTTCCAAAAAGGTTGTTCGGTTGCAAACAGACAAATGAATAGACTTAATTACGGCGTGCTGTGTTTTCGTTTTGATTAAGTGGTTGCAACAAGAGCTCACTTAAACGGCACAGAGTAATGAGCAAGACAATGGTGGTAGATCGAGAGAAAGTAATTAATCATCGGCCGAACGAATGGTGGCGGTGGCAGCAGCGAAGGCGGCCATGGATTTACTGTGAATTTGCCAAGCAATTCAATAGACGTTTACTTCATTTGGCTCGTCATTTTTACAACTTCATAAAGGTGCTGTTAAATAAATTGAGATCATTACAATTGGGTCGTAATTTTCACGACAAACACAATTAACGACTTTTGATTTACGAAGACACTCATTGCATTGGTTCGGCGCTTGCAATATTCATAATTCAATTTCTGATAAGACAGAGAGAGAGAGAAAGAGAGTGAGAGAGATGAAGGTTAAAAAAGGGCACAAAAGAACACGGGCGTTTGCAATGCAAAAAAGTGACAATGTTGAAAGTGGGCAAATTGAAGTGCCGTCACAAGAGCAGCAAAGTTTTGCCGTGCACATCATTTAGATTTTTGCTTTTTTGTGTGTGACTTTCGTAAACCAATTAAACTGAATAATTAAGCAGTGCCGTGTGTTTTTTTTCCTTCTCTTTGCTTCTTCTTCTGGCTGTTGAAGTACAAGTCGTCTAAATAAAAAGAAAATGTCGCACAAACTTGAAGAAGATAAATGTGTCAACGCCATTTTCTGTGGAAAAAGATCGCCGAAGCGAGTAATGTGACAGCCAAGATAAATAAAATTTCAACTGTGAAAAACATATATGTATACGTAGTGGCATCTTTGCCATCGTCTGCTGCTCTTCTAAATGACGTGAATTGCTGGCGAAAATCAATGTCTCGACAAGGTAAATTTGAGCTAGGAAAAATCATGAGAATAATTGACATTTTCTTTCAACTTTGACTTCTACTCTTCGTATTTTTATCGTGTTTTTTTTCTGCCATTTCATTCTTGTTTCCATTTTATTGCTTGACAATCGTTGCTTATTCTCTCGCATTGGATCGAAATGTCGATTCGATCGGTGAATCAGTGTCACTGTAACAACGTTAAGAAAGTTGCTTTTATTATTTATTCGGACGACAACTGCTTTTGCTTTGGTCTTCAGAATCAACCGGAGCGACTAAGTGTTTTGGCGTGTGTGTGTGTGTGTGTGTGTGTGCCTGTTTGTGAATGTCTTCGGTTGTGTATTTTTCGGTGGTAATTATCGTCTCGATAAATTTGTATTGACAACTTGGCGAGTTTGTAAATTTTTTATTAGCATTGTCTTCTGCTTTAAAAGACGAACCGATAAAAAACCAAGCAGCATTGACGCATCTTATTGGCACGTCGAACTTAGTGCAAAAATAAAATCAAATACAGATACCAACATCCCATCCCCTTCAGTGCCTTTTTTGTTTGTTCGTGTTGTATTTTCCATGTGGGATTGCAATTGTTCGAATATCCGAAGTTCATCTAATAGATGTCATCTGTACATGAGAATCGCTTCAAATACTCCACTCTCGCTACTTCTCTCTCTCTCTCTCGATCGATCGATCGCTTTTTTCTGGCACTGCCGATTCGAATAAATGAGTGAAAGCGCGCGCGCGTGTGTATGAGTGAGCGGGCATTGCCAACGCACAATGCACACGCTACACGCAAAACACATAATCGCCGTATAGAAAAGTAAGTCGAGAGAAACTTGAAATGATATATAATATAACCTTCATTAAATATTCAAATAACACCGACATCTCTTCAGTTCTTCATTCGATGTTGTCGTTTTATTCTGTAATACGGTTTCTGTGTTCCATTCGACAATCCAGACTTTGTCTCGCTCTGTCTCTCTCCCTCTCACTGTGTGTTGCTCTGGATTTTGCTTTTTTGTTTTGTATTGTGTCAAATATATTCTCAATTAAGGCGACAAACAGCACAAACGAATGAACGAACGAAAAAAAAATCAAGTGATTAGACATCTCTCTCGCATCGAACTTGTTAATTCGGAAGATGGCAAATGGCGACATATGAACTCAATTAATGGCAAATTTTCGTAAAACATACAAATTACAAGCAAGGTAACTTTGAATCTCCGGTCGTTTTCTACATTTAGTGATTTCATCTTATAGCTAGCACAAAAATGAATCTGTCGGAAATTTGTCGCTCATCTCTGAAGATGACGACGAATCAAACACACACACACACACAGAGAGAGAGAGAGGGAGTGGGAGAACGCAAAAAGAAATCGGGTACTTACCGATGGATTACCCATGCATCGTCGCATTTGATCGGGTGCTCGATATGACGGACTGTATCGGCCGGGAAAGCAGCCACTTGAACTCATTTTCATTTTATCGGGTGATGGATACATGGACATTGTCATGCATCCACCGTTGAAATCCTCTTCCAGTTTTAACGCCTTAGCGGCGTCAAATGGCGTTGGCGAATAAATTTTGAATTTTTTTCTATATACACCGTTATGAAATGAAAATTTATTTGCCGCTTTGCTTGTTTCTATCGACGACTCTTTAACGGCGGTGCGCTTTTTCGTTTGTGCAAATCAAATTTTACCGAGTTTTAATCGTCTAATGCACAAATAAATCAACTTTTGAACGAATTGTTCACGAAATGTCTTTTTTTTTGCAAATTTTTTACTCTCACTTCTTTTTCGATTTTTCAAAGCGCATTTGCTGTTGCGTGAGTTGATTTGAAAATTTTCATCTTGAATCGATTTTCCCGTTGAAAACGAACCGTGATCGTGCCTAAATATGCAATGAGAAGAAAAAGAAGATTGAAATAGGTTAAAAATTAAGCTCTTATGGATTGTTTTTAGATTTTCAAGGCAAAACGATAATAAAATAGTCTTCTGAAGAAGGATTTTACGAGTAAAAACCTCGTTAATTATGGCATATGTGCCAATGTAAGCAACATAGCCAGTCTCTCTCCGTCTCTCGAATAAATAACATTAAATTAACATCTTTTTGCGTCTAAACTGATTGCCGGTCGACGACACCGTTTCCCTACAACTTAACCGTAGCCACCCACAATTGCATTCACGCTCTTTCCACTGTATATATTTATTGCTATATGATCAATTCGCGATTTTTTTTTACTTATGGAAATAACGAGTCCTTATGGGAATCTCTGTCCATTTAGAACATTAATTTATTTTTTCCGTTTTTTCATTCGATTCTGTTTATTCCGTGCATTTCATTTTATGAAAAATTAATTAAATTCCATTTTCAACTCTAATAGTTAAAATTTTCTTTTCGTTTCGTTTGTGCATAAATAAATGTCTATTTGAACTTTCTTCCATTAGAATATTAGAAATAAAAAAAAAGTTTAGAAAATTCTCTGCAATTTCGAAGCAAGTTGTTTTTCAGCGATTTTTAATTGCTTTTCATGAGTGTTTTTGTTGTTGTTGCTAAAAACACTAGTGTCATTTGCATAGGATATAATTAATCCCCATTAGCAATTAGAAGAAATTGAAAATGGCATTTCAAAATGGAGTAGGACGGATCACAGTGTATAAAGTGGTTAATTTATTGAAAATCCGACCATTGTTGTTTGAGCGAATAGAACAGCACTAAACAAATTGCAAACAAAAACAGGAACAAAAAAAAATCACCACAACACGTTGGAAAAACAAATGATGAAAAATAAATGTGGAAAAATGTTTTGAAGTAGTGAATTAAAAAAATGATTATTTCAAATGAAATCTCAATATTTGCATGGATTATTCATCACAATGTGATGGCAATAATATTTTATTAAAGTCATTTTCAATAATTCGTGTGTGGGCTACTCCTTTTGCTCTTCGTTCATGGACTATGATCGCGCACGCGGCGCCTGCCACGAATAGAAAACAACAACATTCGAATGGCAATGAATGGTTTAGATGTACAAACGGTGCAAAATATGTCGTGCTTATGGAAAAATAGAATTATGATAATAATAAATAAACGGTTTTCCATAATTTATTTGTCGTAACATGACGGAAGTCATCATTTCAAACCATATTTTGCTAAACATTTTTTTTTTTCACTGACTGCCATTCATAACACACATCCACACATGATGAGTGGGATGAGAGAAACGTAAAATAAAGTAACCATTTGTTTGTTTCGAGTATTATCGTTGATTGGTCTTCGACATCCATTACATGCAATCACTATCATCATTATCGATAGTATCGCAATCACAATTCAAATGCACACTCACACCCATACACACACACACCGAATATTTCTCGCCGCTTTGAATCAATTTGTTTGAGATAATAATTGCATTGATTTTTAAAATGATAGTCGCGGTTTGGTAACATTTCGGGGGGAACAATCAATTCACACAATCGTTCCATAAAAATAGAAACCACACAATTCGTTTTTCCTCCCCAAAACCACCATACCGAAACGATTTTCTTCTCATCGAAGTAATTTTATTTAGTTGCTATTGCTATTGTAAATAAAATAGGGTATTTTTGTGTTTTACATAATAGCGGAAGCTTTTTAATTGCTGAAAAGTGTAGTTTTTTGATTCATCGACGAGGAAAACGAATATAAAACCCCAATCATTGTTATTTGAAATAGAAGTAAAGACAGATTATCAGGAAAATGGTTTATAGCCAAAGATAGTCTATAGAAAATATTCACTTTTCAATCTTAGTCCAAATGTTCGAAACTCAAACAAAAGCTTGGACACCGTAACATCTTAAGAAATCGGACGTTTTTTTTCAATCTTCCGAAACAGTGGTCGTGTAAAGGTAAAAAAAAATTTAGATAATTATTAGAATTAAATAAATTAAGTCGGTGTATAATAACTGAATGTAGGATTAATGTGTGGGTCTTGTGTTAAATTTGAAACGCTTTGTTTGTTATTTGTTGTGAAACGCTTCAAACGACGTGCCGACGGCACGCACATCAATTGACTCTGGATTTTCCACTTCATTTGATAAATTCGGCCATGTTTTTACTTTCTCCTACCCAAAACTGGACAAAAGACAACCAAATTACACCCGTTCCGGAGAATTGAGTCAATGTCAGTAATTTTACTATCAATTAAAAAGTCGTGTATGGATTTTTTTCCATTTCTCCATTCGATTTTCCATTAAACCCTCAAAAACACGTCATTTCAATGAATGGTCAAATAAATTTGGCTACCCAAAGCGACGGACTATTCCGAAAGCAAAAAAGCGGAAACGAAAATCGAGCGAAAAAAAAATGGACTTGATACATACGGGTTTGGAGTGGAGTGCAACCACGGAAAAGCATACACAAATCCACATAAGCACAGCACCGGCTATGTACTTGAGACACATACAAAATGAATGTGCCCGATGAATAAATAAAAAGCATTTAATACTTTTGAATTATGATCGATGTCTCTATCAGATGAAGCGCATCCGATAAGCTTACACATATGGCTCAATCTGAGACTGCCGACTCGAATGGCTCTCGGGACGGGCGTACGCGAGACGCGAGAAGAGGATAGTGTGAAAAATTACGAATGACATGAACTCTCACTCTCTATGCCTACATAGGCTCCAAAATGTCATTTCATGCGAGGAGCAGAAAAAAGAGAAAGAGAAACACATTCCCAATAAAATCAGGAAACAGAACAGTGGAAAAAATGATATGATAATTCACCAGCGTATTCAAAATTGTTTGTGTACGCATATTCAAGTACATAAACAAATAGATCGAACGTAAACTCGACAGGACGACAAAGAGACTACGGAGCAAAGGAGAGCAAGAGGGAAAGAGAGAGAGAGAGAGAGTGATTGAGTGAGTACGATGGAAGAGATCCACACAACGATATGATAAGCGCAGCTATGCGGCAGCGACAGCACCAGCACAAGAAAATCATTAAATTTTTATATGGGAAAATAATAAATAAAAAATTAAAACCGACTAACTGGATGACGATATGTTTGTATGCATGTCTTACAACCTGATCGTGAACAGTGTAAATGTGTTGTTCACTGCCATATAATTATGTGCAGCACTCACGGATGAATTATCACATAGTTCGTTTATGTGCTGGGATTTTTTTTTCTGTTCTGTCGCGCGTTTCTTCTTTCATTCGTTTAATTGCAAACTTTTTTTCTCGTACTCTCGCTGTCCTTTTGTAAACATTAATATATGAGTATGGAAAATCCTGCGTTTGTGGAAACGACAAGTGACAATTTTTTTTTGACTTTTTCTGCGATGAAGTCATATCAAACAAAATGGGTGAAAGGCAACAATAAAAAGAGATTCTTCCATTACTAGATCTTTATTTAACTAAAGATTAGCTTTTATGCACAATTTTTCAGTTTTATTTGGCTTTTTTTTATAGAGTTATGGATTCTTTTCTCTTTAATTTTCTATTTTCAGTATATCGTTTTAGTAGATTTCATCAAAAGTCTTTTCTATTATTCATTAGTAAGATCAAAGTCTTTCAATTATCGTCCAATAGTTGATTACTCCAATTTTTCAACCAATGAAAACTCACGATAAAAAAAAATTACTCAATCAAAGTTGTTTATTGAAAACGAGACACTTTTTAAACACGAGCAGTTACATTTCTTCGTTGTTTCTTCAAAAACAATTTACTTAATTTAAATTCTACACGAAAACGAAGAATTGGAGAGAAAAAAAATCGGTATCATATACCAAACTATTGAAAGCAAACTTGAAAAATACCAGACAAAAATTTCACTAGCCTTAAAAAAAGACGAAGAAAAAAAACAGTTTTAGAGAGAGAGAAATGAAAAAAAAACAAACAAAATTAAGTGAAAATATTAACAAAAACCTTTTGTCTTGATTTTCTGATGGTTGATAGAGTCAACGTTGTTCGAAAACGAGACTAATGAAACTTGAGCAAATTGTTCACACAAAGTATTCAGAGTTTGGTATTTTCACTTCGATCGGTGCACCAACAAATTCAACCAGCAACTTTCGACGGTTTATTGAAACTGAACCCATGAACCATTTTCTTCAATCGACCATGTATTGTATTTTCACGGAGCGACTGTGATATTCGACAATGTCGAAAGTAACAACACGCAAACGGTATATTGTGTATATGACGACACAAACAAATCCAGCACCGTAACGCACAACAAAGCCGAGAAATATACCGAATGGAAAAGAAGGGCCGCAGCAACAGCAACAGTAGCAGTAGCAGGAGGACAACAATCGTTCATATCAATAGAGATAGAAGCTAGTATGGTTTGCGTCGTTGCATTCGTGCCTCTTCACTGTTGGTGGCGGCGGTGAAAGAGCGAGAGAGAGTTCATGAGCACAGTAGAAACAACGAGAGAGAATACAAAAAAAAGGAACAGCCACCTCTGCGCCTTCTTCGTTAGTATGAGTATTTTTCCCTAGTTGGACCCGATTTCGAAAGCGAGCAAAATGACTTGAGCTCTCTGGAAAATGCCAACGAAAATAAACGTAAAAAGAATACTGTGTTAAGAGAGCGTACAAACCGATCGGCAAAGCGAAAAGGAGCAGAAAGGGAAAACATCCAAAACATTTACAAAACTCAAGCATGGTTGGACTGGCGCATTAAACACCCGATTTCTATGGACTGTGTACCGTGGCCGCCGTTTTTCCATCGTATGTGTTGTTGCTGCTTTTTTTTCCTGTTCATTCTCTGTCTGTGTGTGTTGTTTACATGACAGAGGCGATACCAGAGAGAATAAAGCACGTTTCATGCGATAAAGTGGGCTGCAACTTTTTACGTTATCGTTTTTCCAACACACACACACACACATATACACCAAATTGCCCCTTTTGTTTTAGCGACGCAAGGCATTGTGAGTATACGTTGATTCCGTTTGCTGCAACTTAAACATATCACACATCAAGCAGAAAATCCGATTTAACTCGGTCGCTTTTTTCCACAAGCGCACCAACCGCTGCAATCACATAGCATTGATGAACTGAGAAACGGCTACTGATTTCGGATCGGCATTTCGGCTTGGCACATAGCACACGGTGCGGAAAATATTGTGGGAGTGGTAAATGGTTTGGTTCCAGTGCGCATGTACGGTTTCGGTGGCGATGGAGGGTTCGCCAGTGGATTGGTTGGAAAATTTATGAGCATTCCAACAAGTATCTCGTGTTGATGTCAGTGCAAGCGAGCACATGTAAACGCAGTGTGCTGTGCGCAAGCAAGTGCACACTCGATGAATCTGTGAAGGTGTTAAAAATACAATGAATGCCATCATATCACTTGATGAACCGTCTGTATAGTCGTTTTCGCATGAGAGTGAATGCATTGTTGCCTTTGGATTTTCGGTCGTTCGTTCTTTGGCATTCATCGCAAAGCATACACATCCGGTGCGATGTGTACAAAGAAAGGATTTTTATGCGCTGTGAAGCTGATAAAAATGGAAAAGTTGGAATGTGTTCGCTTCGAAAAGCCTGCAAATGTGCTTGCTTCCGGTCGATGGTTTATTTTTCTGCTTTGTACCTGTTCGAAGGAGCGCACGGATTTTCTTGCTCGCAAAAAAAGACCACTGACGTAAATGTACTTTCGGTGCATAGGAGCAAAAAATGTACGAAGACCGGAAGCAACAGTGCAGACACATCTCAAATTTGTTGGCTTTTTTCGTTTTCGGCGGTAATGATGAAGGGTGAACCGCATGTAGTTTTCGTTGTCAAATCAAATATTGCTGTTCTCTTGTTGCCGTGCAGAAAGCATGAGTCAATTTTAAAAATAGAAGACAGCCGTTACTCGCTAGAGTGTTGAAGTTTGTTAAACATGTCAACGGGCAGCATAAAAAACCAAGAGCGGAGACATCAAGTAGATTCGAAACGTACACAATCAAAAACAGTTTCATGCACAAAGATGGGAACAAAAAATGCGACAAACGATTTAACTGCAGTTAGTATATTGCATTCAAAATGCTATCATGTCCGTGATCCATCCGACACAGCGAATTCCATACGATGCATCTCACTTTGAGTAAAACAAACAAACGAACTCATGAAGCAAAAAGACACTTGATGTGCACCGTCTCGTATATTATTATCCACCGTGAAACGGTAGCTGTTGTGCGACAAACTTTTAACCACAACATGAAACAATCAAACAACCACCAATGCACTCGCGAATCCCAGATCATTTTTCATTTGCAATTGACACTGACAAGAAAAATGTCATTACTCTGAATGAACGGATGGAAAGGGGAAAAGATTAACGCAAAATTGAAATTGGCAAGTTTATGGAATGAATATTAGGAGCTTAGGTTATTTTCAAGCATTTCTATAGCATGGATTCATATAAAGAAGTGAATGAAAAAGGAGAAGAAAAAACTTTTCACGCGAAAAATCGCGGTGCCTACTGAAAGGCCAAAAACCAAAGAAAAAGCGAGAAAAAAAACCAGCTAAATAACAATACGTTTAGTCGCGGCTATTTTTTCAATCCCTTTATTCCGTTAGTCTCATTCCATGGCCGTAATGTATTTTCTCTGTATCCATCCATATTCGTTTTAGTTTTTTACCTGTTTGTCTCTAAATTTCGAGCAAATTTATATCTATTTTTTGATGTGGTGTTTTCCTTTTTGCCATTCGCACTTGTCACACTATATAGCTCGTGGCTATTTTATTTATGGCCGATTCGGAGCGTGTTTATTTCGCTTCGTCTACATTCACTCACACACACGGTGCGCGCATTTTATTTGGGATTATTTTTTAGCACTACATGAAATGTAGAGCTACTAATCTGGTTTCTTTTTTCGTCTTAATACTTTTTGACTACTGAAACAAATTATGTTGAATTTGAATTTTACGCTCATATTTTTTATTCAATTTAAACTTCTGCCAGTAACGACAAATAAGTGCATAGTATCATGAAGCGCTAATCAAATTTTTATTATCAAATGTTTTTTTAAAATTACAGTGATTTTTCGTATAGTATTTTTTTGAGTCTTGAACAGAATTAAAAAGAACTTTCGATTCTATGCTCATATTGTTTATTCAATTATAAACGGAGGCAGTGTGTTTCAAAAAAGAAATTAAACCAAGATCTTGTAATTCATTATTGAGATAACTTTCTGCACCTACTTTGTTGTAAATATATATCCTTCGTACTATGCTTTTAATCCATAGTGTTATTAAAAGGGATGACTTTTAATGATATATTACCTAAGGGAGAGACACGAAACTTAAATGAGTAAAATTAGAGCATTATTCAACGATAATAGGAAAAATAGAAGAAATTAGTGAGTTTGGTTTGCCAATGTTAACGCTTATGGACATATTGTTTATTGTTTACAAAAATAGTCCCGTTAGGTCTTCCATAAGCGTTGTATTGACAGTGTAATACGCTCTGCAAGCGATTTTACTAGAAATAATAGCACAATATTAGCACTTTTGCACCAAAACTAGAAAAATTAGAGGACATAAAGCAAAAAATATATAAAATTGAGTGTAACTAGACTCTAATAGAATTCGTGTCTCGCCCCTAGTATATTACTGCAAAGTTTCTTCGATGAAATACATTTCATGTAGTGCGCAAAAAAAATAGTTTGTTGTGAAACAACAAAATAGAATAAGTAACTAAAATTTCAAGAACGCAGAGCGGAGCGAAGCGACACTCTGCGGTCTTGTTTTTTCTCTTCTCTGTGTATTGTGTTGTTTAGTGTTTTTGGTTAGGCACGATTTCGCTTTTTTCGAACTTTTCAACATCGTTCACGGACATCGTTGAGAGTGAGCGTGCAAACTTGATCACTGGCTGAGTTTTTTTCCCTCTCTCTCTCTCTCTCTCTCTCTCTCTCTCTCTCTCTCTCTCTCTCCTTTCCTCTCGTTCTGTTCGGTTTTTCGTGTGTCGTTTAGTAGCTAGACTGATTCGGTTCGTGTGGATGGATTTTATTTGTTTGTTGTATTTTAGTGTGCACATCAATTTCAAAATGCCAATACAATTTCCAATTCTCCTACGACTTTCGACCCTTTCTGTCTCTCGCTCTGACAGCTTTTGTATCCATGCTTGTGTACGTCTCTCTCTCTACCTCCCTTCCTCCTCTGTGTGTATGTGTGTGTGCGAGTCTCAGTGCTCTGTGCATATCTGTCCTCTGAAACTACATTCCTTTCATCACTTCCACACTTTTTTCCCATTTCGTTATTTATTTAATTTAATTTGGTTTCATTTTCTGTGTTTTTTTCACGGACTGACCGCATCGAGAAACAGAGATACTTCCACAATACCTGTCGGTTCTTGTTTCGTGCCAGCCGATTTTCGACAATGCAATTTGTTCGTGCCATTGTTGTATTGCTCAATTATTTGAAGTTGATTAAACCACGCACATGAATTGATTTTTTTCCGTCAATTTGTTTGGGCTTTATTTTGTGCCAAAGGCAGTGCACACGTTGCTGCAATTGACTTCAACCGAGATCAATTCAAACAGTCAATATGATTTCCAAACGGTAAGTGAAACAGACAGTGGAAAAAAGAGTACTAATGATCGATGTAGCCTTTTTCGATAATGGAGTCTCTTACGGAAAGTTCTTAATGAAGACAGGCATTGAAGGCACCGATTCAAAACAAATTTTACTCGTCCATTGGATTATGTGAAAGACAATAATTGAAAAAATTATTTTAAATGTGGTTTAGTTGTTAATTAGACGAAAAATCAAAACAATATGCTAATATCAGGCGCATAAAAGACCATTCGATACAGAACTATACTTGAAAAAGTACCTTGAATCAACGAATAATGGATTTAAACCGCTGTGAAGCTGATTTTCCGCTCTTTAAAGCCGACCATTTATTTGGTCGTTTTCAATGGTCTCTTCAACATAATGCATTTTAATATTTTGAAATGTACAATTTCGTCCAACTGTTAAATGAGCATCCTGATGACTGGCTGAAAGCCCATTTGAAATTGCACATATTGTCGAAAACAAAAATGGTTTGCCATTTGGTGAGCCTTTTTCAACAAGATTTCAA